AAATTGACATAATCCAAAATATAAAACAAACACTTCAGATTTCTAAGAAGATAACACATTGTGATGCAGGAAACAAAGGAAATTCAAATTAAAAGTCTCTTTTTCTGGTGTGCTGAGAACAGCTGCAGGATATGTGTGCATTTCCTAATGCAGATTCTCCAAGTCCGCACTCATATGAGATGGGTTACATAGGCCTATTTAACGTTTTGTAATGTATCATTAAATTAATTTTTGCATAGGCATATTGAATCGACAATACTAACACGTCCAGTTTGCAAGCCAATCAGATTATACAGAAAATGACTGCATGTCCCCCCCCCCTTTTTCTTACTTTTGCACACACTGGAAGCTGAATGCCAGAAGAGGTGTAATGTATTGAATAGATAGCAGTCTCTTACCTTAGCTGTCTCCTGGAAGGACTGGTGTTCCTCCTTTTGAGACTGTATCTCATAAACATTACAACCCACATGCACATGTGACTTCAGCATCACCTACAGAGAAAATAGCAAAGTAACAGGTTTGCACATGCCGTGGCTTTATAATATATCACACTGTTGCTCCCACATCAATTTGACCTGTATCATGAGGGTATATATAACTTTGTTTCATAGTTGTCTATGCTAAAAATTGATAGTTCATGTCTGTTGGTATCTCAGACACTAAGGAAAGTATATTCTGTGCTGAAGTATGTTACTCTGAAACGTTGACATTTACTTAAGAGTTCGTACAATCCAGGAAACTAACACAGACACAAAAGTAAAACTGTACCTGTAGTTAATTTTGTTCAATTGGGATTAAAAGTATATTTGGTTAATGCCATTTGTTGAAGACTTACAACTAAGTTTCTGTTGACAAAACTTCAAAGGTTCCACACCACTAACGTTAAAACCCATCACTTGACACTATCCAAGCAGTTCTACTGACTTCCTATCCTCACAACCCTTTTATCTAAAACTCACACTATCTCCTTCATGCTCCTCCAGCTGTACCACTTTTCCAAAGATCTGCACAACAAGATTCTATATGCAACTCATGTCTCTTCCATCCAAGCAAAATGTTCATCCTGTTCTTACCTCCTAAATTTCAATGTCCTAATAATAGTAGGTAAGCAGCAGGACTTATAAATGGTTGTCATGTAACAAGTGAAATTTTCCAATCTACTTCTCCCTCAAAAATCATAAATAACATTTAACCAACATTTGCACATCAAAGAAATATTATTACACGTGTATGCACGACAGGCAAGATGAAGAAAATGTGCACTTACACATTATTTCCAAACTGCTGATCATGTTTCTTCATATGCGTACAGCATGTCCTGACACAACATACATGAAACATAGTGCGTATTTTTCTCGCTTCCAGTAAATACCCACTGACCTGGAATAAGTCATCAAGCCACTGTACAGCCTGTGCCGCATCCCTCTCGTAGGCCTGAATGTGTGACACCTGTGCCAAGGTCAGTTTGTGCAGTTCTACGCTGTCACAGAAGATGTTCTTCCTGGCTGTCGTGGCATCCAGAAGCTCCAGTACATTAGCAATATCACTCTCGTAGTTCACCTCCACATCCCGACCCAGCGCGTCCTTCACGGGCATAGACAGGATGTCTGCGAGCTTCTCACCTTCTTTCATCGCCTCTCGTCCCAGGAGTTCTGGTATATCACACATTCAGTTGCAATACTGTGTTACTCTTTGATGTTTTAAACACAAACTGCAGCAGTTGCAAGGGAGTGTGAATATTTGTTTAACTTGTTATGGGCTACATATTGTGTGTTTTGTGAAATGCACATAAATTAATCCATAATGGAGAAATGGTATGAGTCCACATGATTCATCTTCAGAACTGCCAAAGGGATCCTGATGAAATTTGATAGTGGATATCTACATTAAATATTGTCAAGCTACTAAGTTTCAGTTCACATTGATGAAATATCTATATAATACATCAAGCTCAAATTAAACTTAAATTACTAACTTTGCTCAGAATGACTCATAAAATATTGTATAGAACATAAATATGTGTCTGATTGAGATAATAAACTTTCATGTTAAATATGCTTCAATATGGTTGGTATGTAATGAAATACAAGAAAAAATTAATGTAAACTGCTATGTAAGACAAAATGTTATTCGTCTGCAATGTAGCAGAAGTTGTTAATTTGTTTTTCTTCATGATTTTAAAAAGATACATGGTTATATATTTCAAGTAATAACTGATTTCTATAAGTGAACTAAGTTTTGTTGGAAATATTTAAAAAGGTTGTAATTCAACATAAATGTTATAAATGGCCTATTTATTCAAGTCTTAAATTAATATGTCATATGAAATACAAATACAATAAAATATACAAATATAGAAGATTTATGAAAAAATGAAATTCGTCTTATTTCAGAATGACATTTTGTACAAGATATAGTTATAGTAGTGAGGTTACACATTACAATTTAAATTAATTTTAATCATTAATTAGAATCTCTTGAGTATGTCCTTAGATGACACAAGTTGACAGACAGAAATCCTCCCCATAACAAATATACAATATTTTAATGCTCTTGGTGAAAAATACATACAAAATCTGATTCAGAGAACAATACCAATAGACTCCATATTTAAGGCAGAATCATACCAATATTTATGTGACTCTCTTGTAGTTCTACCAACATTGTGTCTGCTGACTCCAAATCTTCAACATCATCACACTTCAATAAGGATTCAAACACTTCATTTGTTTGGTCAAAATACTGAAATCAAACACACAAAATTTTTAACATAAAACAGAAATTGCCTATTTTATGTTAGCAGAGCTTGTGATATAAAAATGCTGGCAAAATTTACTGCACTGAAGATTATAATGCTGAAATGAAACCTAAATTATAATACTGTAATTTAATTAAATTTAGGCTAGTGTATAGGTTACTATATGATGGCATACTAATCACAGAACTTTTTATCTATTTAGTGAATAATGAGAAGAAAGAATTATTATGAATCCTATTTAATACCAGTATAATGATGTTTACCTGGAAGGAATGAAAGAAATCTCAGCAAAAATAGTCTTGAAACAAGTACCTCTCAAATAAAAGTGAGGGCCATTAGTGCTGAAAAACCTGTTAATTATGTAGCTTTTATACCATACTGGGATACTGGGAACGACCTGTTTTTCAAGTGCCTGAGCACTGCGGGTCCCAACTTTCGTTAGCCACAGGACAACCGAACACAAAAAAACGCGGACGAACATCCATGGCTTGAGTGGGATTCGAACCCACGGTTCCAGCGATCAAGCGGCACAAGGCCCACGCCTCAGACCGCGCGGCCACTGTGGACCCCATCACAACATAACATCCACTATACTATTTATACATATTTTAAGCACTTCAGAATATTCTGCTGACAACTCCTTGGAGTAGAGTTGCTTGGAAGCATTTCATTGAGGCTCAACTTGACAACAGTAATGGCATGGCAATCATATTGCTTACAGTTCTACAATTGCCTACAGGCATACTGCCTACAGTTCTAGTGAGAGCTAACCTCCGAAACAAGGCGAAAGAATCTGAGTGAAGTGATCAGCACATTGCGGCGCCTCTCAAGCCGTGTTGCAAAACTGCGGCATACAAAGTCCATGAAGTCTCGTTGTGATTTTAGGTCCTCTGGCAGTGCGATGTCACAGTGTGGAAGTCTGTCTATCTTGTGCAGCAGCTCCGCATATTGACCATATGTGTCCTGTGACAGCATGGAAGGTGAACTCATCACATCCCTGAATATATAACTGTGGCGATCAGGACATTATTTAGACCTACTTTTCATCTCATTGTAAAAACCAGGCAACTAAACTCTACACTATGTGGTTGTTTGTTTGGGTTTTTTGTGGATTACTTAATAACACTGTCAGTAGCTCAGACTATATACAGTAGAATGACTTACATACATCTTTATTACATTCCATGGATCCATAAGTTAGTCAGATGACAATAGGATGTAGAATAAGTCACAATCCAATTAATGAATGCTGGATTGGAAAGAAGTGGTCCTAGCCCATTTTAAGGTACTGTCTTGGCATTTGCTTTGAGGGACTGAGGAAAACCATTAAAAACCTCATGGTAACTTGTCTCCAGGCTGAGATTTGAACCCAGGACCTACTGAATATGAAATGTGAGTGCTAATCACTTGGCTATGATGTTCAGTAAGTAGTTATATGACAATGCTAACAGTATTTCTGACAAAAGTATACACCACAGAGTGGAAGGTAAAAACAGATGTTGTATTTTGACATGCATTTGGAATATGAAATGCAGTGATCATTTTAGCCAGAAAATGTAACGTGAAGAGACTTCTTGGGAGACCAGGAGTAAAGAGGAGGATAATACTGAATGGTGTCACAAAGAAACAGGGAAAGAAAACAATTGACTGGATTTAAATGCCTAAGGATACAGATCCTGGGACAGACTTTGTGAATGCAGAAATTAACTTTGGTTCTATTAAAGCAGGAAATGTACTGAGATAGGTGAGTGGGATATTTGGGATGGTGGGAATCACCTTTCAAGATATGCAGGCATACACTTTCCATGCAATGCCCTGAAAAATAAGATTTTAAAGGTGCAATTCATGTCAGAGTATAGAGTGTTTCAGCACACATTCTTTTGCACCTTCACATTCTGGAATGTTCTTAGCAGTTATGAATAGTTTTGATCTCTAAATAATGAATGTTGACATTACTGATTATAGGAAATTGAAAACTGTGATTTTGGTGTGATTTTCAATGGCATACACCCCTACTGAATTTCATTATTATCTGTCCAGAGAAACACAATCAGACCTTTTTAGAAGAATTTCTGTGACTGCGTCCCATGAAAACCCATTTTGCTCAAACATACCCTACATTGGAGCTCCAAGGTCTCATGCTCCTGCCTCAGTTC